CCCCTTTGCTATCCCCCCCCGTTCGCCCGACCCGACTATCGCCGATCCATGGGCGATGTATCGCCGATTCCAGGTCGATGGTTCCCCCCCTTATCCCTATCCCCCCCCTATCGTTGCCCCTCACACCCGTGGGCGCTGGTCTGCCATGGGTGGTGGCGCCAGGGCGCCCGCTCCTCCCCGGCCGGCGCCGAGGCCGAGCGCCCGCGGCCCGCCGCGCGCCGAGAGGGCTGGTCCTCCTCCTCCTCCTCCGCCTCCCCTCCTCCTCCTCCTCCTCCTCCTCCTCCTCCTCCTCCTCCTCCTCCTCCTCCTCCTCCCTCCTCCTCCTCCTCCTCCTCCTCCTCCTCCTCCTCCTCCTCCTGCCTCCTCCTCCTCCTCCCTCCTCCTCCCCTTCCCCTCCCCCTCCTCCTCCTCCTCCTCCTCCTCCTCCTCCTCCTCCTCCTCCTCCTCACTCCTCCTCCTCCTCCTCCTCCTCCTCCTCCTCCTCCTCCTCCTCCTCCCCTCCTCCTCCTCCTCCTCCTCCTCCCCTCCTCCTCCTCCTCCTCCTCCTCCTCCTCCCCCTCCTCATCCCTCCTCCTACCTCATCCCTCCCCTCCTCCCTCCTCCTCCACTCCTCCTCCATCCCCTCCTCCTCCCCCTCCTCCTCTCCTCCTCCTCCTCCCCCTCCCCCTCCTCCTCATCCTCCTCCTCCTCCGCCTCCTCCTCCTCCTCCTCCCTTCTCCCTCCTCCCTCCTCCCTCCTCCACAATTACTCAATATGAAAATACTCTCCTTCTTCCCCTGATGGCGTCCGGGTGATGGCCGCGCACCCTCCGCGTACTGTTTTTTTACACACAGGATTCCCGGGAAATCCCGGGAAACGACTCTCGCTGAGGCGCCGGCGTCATATTTTCCCAAAATGCTGCTCTCGTTGAGGCGCCGGCCTCATTTCTGCTCCCGAATCGTTCCGAATCGTGCTCCCGCTGCAGCGTGGGCCTCATTTTCGGATCGGTGTTTGGCCTCAGTCGTTCAGGATGGCGTTCTCGCCCCAGCGCGGGCCTTTTTCTCGCGCGCCCATCCGCCCACCACCACCGCGCCGCACCGCCACGCACCACCACCACCACCACCACCACCACCACCACCACCACCACCAGCACCAGCACGCCAGCACCAGTACCAACACCACCACCACCAGCACCACCACCACCACCACCACCACCACCACCACCACCACCACCCCACCACCACCACCACCACCACCACCACCACCACCACCACCACCACCACCACCACCACCACCACCACCACCACCACCACCACCACCACCACCACCACCACCACTACAACCACGCACACACGCACGCACGCACGCACGCGCACCACCACCCACTACGCACGCGCGCGCGGAGCCACAGGTCCGCTACGACACGCGTCCGCGGATAGAGAGAATCAGCGCCATGGTAAGGGATGGGAGGGAGGGGTAGGACGTCAGATATGACGCGAGCGCATCTAGCTTGGTCCTCCTCCCCCTCCCCCTCCCCTCCTCCTCCTCCTCCTCTCCCTCTCCCTCTCCCTCCTCCGCTTCCTCCTCCTCCTCCTCCTCCTCCTCCTCCTCCTCCTCCTCCTCCTCCTCCTCCTCCTCCTCCTCCTCCTCCCCCTCCCCCTCCCCCTCCTCCTCCTCATTCTCTTCGGCCGCCGCGGCCGCCTTCCTCCGCCCCCAGGCGGCACCTCCGCAGTGCGAGGGCGACTTGCACGTTCGAAAGGACGGCTGTCCTTTTCGGCGGCCGACGCACGGGCGGCGCACGAGCGACGAATGCGCGACGCACCTCTTGTCGCGAAGGGGGGGGTCAGCACGCTGGTCGTCTTACTGGGCCTTAACACTCCGCACGGTCCCCATCTCGGGCGTGCTTTCGCGTCTGCTCGCTGGGCTCGGGGCACGGAGCAGAGGTGGGCTCGGCCTGGGCCTCGGCTCTGGGGGCGCGGCCCGCCCGCGCGCTGAGGCCGCGCCGCGCGGAGATGCCCCTCCGCCCCCGCCCCCCCCGCGCGCGGAGGCCGGGCCTGAGCCCCGACCCAGAGATGCGACGCTCCCAACTAGAATGGGATTTGGGTAGTTTTCGGCCTCTCGGGGCCCTCGCCGGACCTCGGGAGCGTCGGAAAACGATTCAGGACGAAAAACCGGTCCTGCCGAAGTGGTCTGGACCTCTTGGGGCCCACGCATCAACAACAATTGGAGCGGCGGGATGTCTGGGGAGGCTGAAGCAGCACGGTACGAAGGGGGCGTGCGTTTTGGAATGTGCCCAGGAGGCTTCAGACCCTGGAGGATTCCTCAGCTGATGAGGGCGGCCGTGACATTCACGGCCAAGCCTCTATCGATGTTCCACTGGCTGCCAGCTTTCACATCCCGCGCTTCCGCTGCCGAGAGGAAAAAAATTAAAAGTTTTCAGACCTTGGGTTCCTTCTCCATGGTTCTGTCGGGCCTGCCCCTCTACAGGGGGGGTCTTCAAAAATAGCTAAAAATAGTATGGGGACGATTTGTCGTACCATTGTTGAACATGCTGGGCGTATTTTTGGACGTTTGTTTGCAATTTTTCGTCCCATATCCCCCTTTGTAGGGGGACAGGCCCGACCTAATCTCAGGGTTCCTTATCCAATGCCCTCGCCACCGCAGCTTCGTCTCGCTCCGGCGTGGCAGCGGCCCGCCCGCGCAGCCGTTTCAGGGTGGAGCGCCGCAGGTGGGCCAGCACCGGCCCATGAGGTTCGGCCAGCGTGGAACGATCCGACGATCGAAAAGGCGCCGATCGTTCGAGTATGAATTCTGCCCGCACGAAATGGGTACTGAAGGAACGGTTACAATGCCCAACAGCACTTCCTGTTCTATTTGAACAGAAGTCGCTGTCCGCGCCGCCGCGGCCTGTGTCCATTTGAGACAGAAGGCCGCCTGCCCAACAGCGGCCGCTGTTGGTTTGGGACAACATTTGTTGTTGGGCATTGTACCCATTGTTTTCCGTACCCATTTCGGGCGTCCAAATGAATGATTCACGCGGTGTCAGAAAAAAGAACAAAAAAAATGCTGGGGTCGTCACGCCACGAGCCTGCCGTTGTGGGCATCGGCGAAGTCGCCGATGCGTCGGCCGCCGAGACGTCGGTCCCTCGGAGGGGCGTTTCTTCTGCGTCAAGCAGTGGCGAAGCGTCTTGGCCCGCCTATAGCCTTACCAGGCGGTGTTCTAAGAACCCTTTGTGGTTTCCACGAAAGGTGCTTAGAACAGTTCTGGCGGAGGTTGCCTTCTTCTATGTTTGCACATCGGGTCTATGTTCTAAGAACATTGCTTTTTGTTATCAGAATAGTCTTGGGCTCTAAGAAAAAAATCGTGCTAGCGCTATAGGAATGCCAGGACGGTCGGTCCCTGCTCAGCTGCGGCGGGCGACCCGCCGGGCAGGGAGCCGTCGGGCTTCCTCGTTCGTCCGTGCCGGTGCGGCTCCCTGCGCTGGGGATGGGCCCCGGGGTCCTGCGGGCGCTTCGGAGCGGGCCGAGGCCGGGTGTCGGCTCGTGGCCGCTCCCTCCCCGCAACAGCCTCTCTCTCTCCTCCCCTCCTCCTCCTCCTCCCTCTCCTCCTCCTCCCTCCTCCCCCTTCCTCCTCCTCCTCTCTCCCCTCCTCCTCCTCCTCCTCCTCCTCCTCCTCCTCACCTCCTCCTCCTCCTCCTCCTCCTCCTCCTCCCTCCTCCTCCTCCCTCCTCCCCCTCCTCCTCCTCCTCCTCCTCCCTCCTCCTCCTCCTCCTGCCGACACGGCCCTGCATCGAGACAATCAGCGATGGCACATACGGTGGGGGCGCGCATCGAGAAACCATCTGCTTTTCGTCAGGGTACCCCAGGTTTCTTCGCTCCTCGCGCTGCGCGGTGACCTCCCGCAGCCGTTGAAGGGGCTGTTGCGTTCAGGGCGCTCCAGGTTTCCCCTCAGGTGCACCTCGCGCACGGGTTCTCAGGGTTGGGTTTCGTGCCATGGTTTTTCTGCGGCCGCGCCCGCACTGTACGGTGGGGGCGTTGGGTAAGGAATGCACCCAGGAGGCGTCAGACCCTGGAGGATTCCTTATCGGATGAGGGCGGCGGTGGCATCCGGTTCCCAGACCCCGGCTCCCTTATCCAATGGCTCCTTATTCCGTGCTCTCACCGTAATTATCTGCACGAGACAGCACGAAGTGGAGCAGCTCAGAAGCAGCACGTCTACAGCACGCACGCACAGGGCACAGCACCAACGGCCGAGAGCATCCACCACTACAAACGAGGGCTCCGGCCCACCCGCGCCAGCCTTCCCTTCCAGGCCCCGCCGCCCCGGCGGACATTCGCGCGCTCTGTTCTGCTCTCTGCTCGGGTGACCCGCGGGTGCCGGACCCCGCGCAAGTGTTCAGTCGGGCCCGACCCTCTACAGGAGGAACATTCAAAAATAGTCGAAAAAATAGTCTGGGGACTATTTTTTGAGCATTGTTTGATCATTTTGGCGTATTTTTCCGTATTTTTTATTTTTCATCGAACATCCCCCTGTGGGGGACACGCCCGACTTAACGCAAGTGGCGTCCGGTCGAAGCCCACCTCCGGCACGGTCGTGCTGTGGCCCCTCGCGCCCCCACTCGTCCGATTCGCAGGTGCAGGCAGGGCAAGGCAAGAACCGCACGAGAGCCCACGAGCGATGCGGGCGTCTCGGTGCACGAGGCACCGAAAATGAGGAGGGGCCCACCCTGCAGGATCGGTCAACGGCACATCGTGGAGCGGTGCCGCAGCCTCCCCTGAGCACGGCCCCCCCCCCCAGCGCAACTGCTCTGTGTGTGCAGGCGGCTGCACACTTGCCGATGGCTGCCTTGATCGTGCCGGCCTCCTCATCGAGCAGTGGTGGGTGGCCGCACCGTTGGACGCTCGCGCCTCGTTCGGCCATGGCGGCGTTCGCCTGCCATCCTCGTCCTCCCCCACCCCTCCTCGCCCTCTCTCCTCCCCTTCTTCCTCCTCGTCCTGCTCGCCCTCCTCATACCCCTCCGAAGCCCTTTCATTTTGGCTCTTGCCAATGTGGCTGAGGCATTAGTTCCCCCCAGGTCGATTGTGGGTGTTTGATCTACAGGTGCATTCCTATGGGGTGCGTTCAGCACGTCGCTGCAGCTGTTCAGGATATCCATGTGCCTGTGGCAACTGCCGCCCACCGTGCCAGCGCCTCATTCTTCAGAGCGTGCATTACCTACCCCGCTTTCGCTTCCAGGCAAAACCAAGTCATACCACGCGCCTCCTCGTCAAGCGGCCTGACCAGTACAGGCCGTAGTTTGGCATCGCCTGGTATCTCTTGGAAGCGAGGGTGGTCAAAAGCGAGGTAGGTTTGTTTGCCCCCTAATTCTGCGCGGTGACCCCTTTCGAAGACAGCCAAGGAGGCAGTGGAGTGTTGCAGCAGTTCTCGTCCGAGCGCTCCAGGGCGAGGGCGCCACGTGTGGCGCTCTCCCGCACTCCCGGGGAGGGCCGCATGCGATCGCTCTCGTACCCATGGCCCAGAGAGCCGTAACATACGGCACGTCTTCTCAAGATATCTCGGGGGTGGACAGAACCCCCAACAGTGACACGTCGGTTAGTGAATTGTCCGTTCTCGGTTCTCGAGATGGCGCCGTGGCCGTCATTTTCCAGGCTTGCGCCCGCCAGGTTTGGGCCTCGGGTCGTTTTCACTAGACCACGATTGTCTAAAGGGGGGGTCTGCCCATCCCCGAATATCGCAGCGGCCTCAAGATAAAGAGTTCATTTTGCTGCCCACGGCATGTGTGAGGCCTCAGTATATGCGGCAGTCGAGTGCCCGAGGGCGCAGGGACATCGGGTCGGAGTGTGCATGTCAGAAGCTTGCTGGAGGGAGGAGGAGGAGGAGGAGGAGGAGGAGGAGGAGGAGGAGGAGGAGGAGGCGGAGGAGGAGGAGGAGGAGGAGGAGGAGGAGTCCTTGGGAGCTGGTCTGGGCCTCTTGGGATCCCCGGGCGCTCTTGGCCGTCTTGGGTCTGCCTGGGAGGAGATCTGGAGGCTTCCCAGGGGCGCACCTGTGGCCTGTGATGCGAACCCTGTTACGAGGGGAAGAATCGGGTTGTTCCACGTTCCTGGCTTCTCACGGGGTCCTGGGGAGGCTTCCGCCAGAGCGTGACGAGAGCCTATCAGGGCCTCTCGGGCGCCTTGTGCGACCTTCCTGGGCCTATTGAGTCCCTCTTGCGGCAATATTGGGCCTTCGCGGTGGCATTGGTTCCTTTCCTGGGCCGTCTTAGAGTTCAAGTGGATCGCCATGCACGGAGGCGTCAGAGACTGCGGCGCCCGGGGGAGCCTCGGCAGGGCTGGTGGTGCCAAGGCCCAGAACAGCCGTTCGGGAAAGTCAGAGGATGCCAGCCAGACATCACAGGAGCGATGCCCCACTCTGCCTGCGTGCCAGAGGGGGGCACTGGGGCGGATCGACGACCCGGTGCGGATATCGTCGGCCTCACAGTGGAGCGATGGCGGCGACAGCCCGAAGAGCCCGATGACGCCACGCAGGGGCTCGTCTGCGAGCTTTCACAGCAGGTACGCTCTGGACGGGAGGCTCGGCGAGGGCTGCTTCGCCCGCGTCTACGCGTGCAGGAGGCAGGGCGACGGGTCGAACGATCCTTTCGCGGTGAAGATCACAGACCTGAAGGGGCGCGTGGACGACACGAGGGAGCGCATCGCCCGACAGGAGGCCCACATCCTCAGGAGGGTCGGGAACCAGGCTCACTGCTGCAGGCTCATCGACTCGATGTTCTGCCGCCGCTTCCACTACAGCTCGAGGTCGAACAAGAGGTGTAAGCACACAACATGTTTGGAAGCGCCGCGCCGCAGATTTGTCGGATCGGCGCTGGACCCGCCTCCCAACCAAGCAGAGCGCGCCGGAGGCGCCGCCCAGGTGGGTCGGGGCGCCGGTCCAAGAAATTCTCGCGGAGCTTTAAGTCGGGCCTGTCCCCCTACAGGAGGAATATCAACAAATAGTCAAAAAATAATGTGGGGGCTATTCTGGGGGTATTTTTGAGCATGTTATGGGTATTGTTTGGGTATTTTTTATTTTTCGTCCAAAATTCCCCTTTTGGGGGACAGGCCCGACTGAAGCGGAGCTCCGAAAGTTTGTGCTTATGCAGTTGTTTGCTCCTCGGCGCATCGTGCTGGAGAGGTGCTCAGAGGGTGGCCAGTGGAGACAGCGGCGGCTCTTCCGCCTGGCCCAAGGCTGTTCCAAATAATGGGTCGCAGGTCGGCCAAAAGAAAGCGACACCACCCCGCCTACACATGGTTCGTTTCAAAGTATTCGAAAGCTCTTTGTTTTTTCTAGGGGGGCCAAGATCCTTTCATTTCTGAGTGTTCTATCCTGGGCTTCTTCCTGGCCGCTACTACGAGGCCAGGAAGAAGCCCAGGAGTAGGAGTAGGAGGAGGAGGAGGAGGAGGAGGAGGAGGAGGAGGAGGAGGAGGAGGAGGAGGAGGAGAGGGTGGGGAGGGGAGGGGGAGGGGGAGGGGGAGGGGGAGGGGGCCGCTACTTCCATGTTGCGCCACGGCCCATCGGGCGCCGCAGCGTCTGCCGCGTGAAAACCCACGCCTGATTTCCTCGGGCGGTGCTTAGGACGAGGACCAATCCTCGGAGGGAGGAGAAGCGACACCAACACCAACAGGGGGGCCACTTCCAGCGAGGAGGTCCACGAGGCCTCCCCGAGCTGGAGGCTGGGGGTGTCTCGAGCGAGAGGGGGGGACCACACCACCAGGGAGACCCCCCTTGCCTCCTTGCATCTCCTCGCCCTGTTGGTGTTGGTGTCGCCTTTCCTTGTCCCTACAATCCGTCCCGAAGCTGATCGCAGCGCTCTCAGAGCGTTCTGGAACGCCCTGAGAAGGCCTCCTCCGAAGCTGCCAGATCTCAGAGATGCTCGATCTTGTCCCCACCCGACTTGATCCTCTCCCTGGCTTCGTCTTCTTCCCTCGGTCTTCGCCAAGCCCCGTGGGGCCGTACCCAGACATGCGACGTCCTGATTTTTTCAGTGCGGCGTCCCCGCAAGTCCCGACCCTTTCCCCGGGACCAGCTTTTCGTCCCGAGTCGCTTTTTGACGGTCCTGAGGCCCGGCGAGGGCCCCCCGGGGCCGAAAATAGCCCAACACCTCCCGTCCGGATTTTTTCACGACGCGATCATGTCTGGGTAGGTGGGGTGGTGTTCCTTCGTTTTCTGGTCCGACGGGCTCCCTCCCAAGGGGTCCCTCCTGACCCGTGTGCCGAGGCGGATCCGGCAGGGACGACGGGACGCCTCTGGGCGGCTCAAGACTTGCTCGGGGGTCGTTGAGAGTATGTATATTTTGTTTCCCCGATCCCAACCCAGGCATGCTCGCGTCGTAAAAAAATCAGGACGGGAGGTTTTTGGTTATTTTCGGCCCCGGGGGGCCCTCGCCGGGCCTCGGGACCGTCAAAAAACGACTCAGGACGAAAAACCGGCCCCGGGGAAAGGGTCGGGACTCCCAGGGACGCCGTCCTGAAAAAATCAGGACGTCGCATGTCTGGGAATCTACTTTGGGCGCCTTTCTACTTCAAGCCTCGATCTGCTTTTGCTGTGCTGGGCATTTCTCTGGGACGGACTGTGCCCAATCTGCTACTTCGTCCGCCTTCCTGCTTCCTGCTCCTACCCACCTCTTCCGACCGACGCGCGCTTACGAAAAAACTCGGGCCCCGAGAGGTCTCGACCCATTCCCCGGGACCACCTCTTCGTCCCGCGCCGGCTTCTGACGGTCCCAGGGCCCAGCGAGGGCCCCTCAGAGGCCCCGAATAGCAAAAGTAGGGGAACAAAAAGTGACATAAAAATAACAACTCGGAGGTCCGCGCGGATTTCCCGGATCGGCGCTGGACCCCCCTCCCTGGCGCGCGGAGCGCGCCAGGGGCGGCGCCGGAGGCGCCGCCGGGGGGTCCCAGCCCCGATCCGAGAAATCCGCGCGGACCCCCGAGTTTTTATGTTCATGTCACTTCTCGTTCCCCTGAAGAGTCCCCGCGCTGTGTTTTCTGTTGTTCCCGAAGTTGTCGCTCATGCCGTCGCCCGTCGGTGGTTACTTGGTGGACGGTTTACCGCCGGATCCCAGTGTTGTTCTCGAAGTTCAACCATTCGTCAGAGCTCTAGATTTTTTTCCCATGGTATTCGATCGTATTCCCGCTCGCCGTCTTAATCTCGGGTCGATCGGGTAGATATCACTCCCAGCAGCGCGCCGCGCACAGGTGCACCCAGCCGCTCGCGGCGGCGCTGGAGGCGGTGCCCGAGCTCACGGAGGTCGGCCTCGCGGGGTCTCCCAGGAGGGGAAAGAGCACACAGACACACATTCAATCGTCGATCCCCAGGAGAATAGGCGAAAATGTGGGAAGTGGGGGGGGGGAAGACAAAAACCCAGAAAATGTGGGAAAAAATGTGGAAAAATATGGGAAAATGTGGGAATCTTTTCGTTCGTGTGTACTTGTTTGTGTGCTCTGGGGCCCCAAAAGGTTCGCGCGGCAGATGCTCCAGGGCCTGGCCTGCGTGCACGGGGCCGACGTGGTGCACAGGTCGGGAGAGCGAGAGAAGCCTTATAGCAGGGCGTGAATTACCTACCCCGCTTTCGCTTCCAGGCAAAACCAAGTCATACCACGCGCCTCCTCGTCAAGCGGCCTGACCAGTACAGGCCGTAGGTTGGCATCGCTTGGTATCTCTTGGGAGCGAGGGTGGTCAAAAGCGAGGTAGGTTTTTTTGCCCCCTATGATCGTAGGGGAACGAGAAGTGACATGAACATAAAAACTCGGGGGTCCGCGCGGATTTCTCGGATCGGGGCTGGGCCCCCCGGCGGCGCCTCCGGCGCCGCCCCTGGCGCGCTCCGCGCGCCAGGGAGGGGGGTCCAGCGCCGATCCGAGAAATCCGCGCGGACCCCCGAGTTTTTGTGTGTATACCACTTTTCGTTCTCCTAGAGGAGCGAGAGGAGTCTTATGGACTTCCCGGCAAGGGGAACAGAGTTCGGTGTGCTCCCTTGCCCTGCCCGCGGCGTGCTTTCGAGCAGGGTGCGAGGAGCGGTGGCGACTCGCGGCGCGGGCCTGTTCGGCGGGCGAGGAGGCCCGGGCTTCGAGACCTGCGCGAATCGAGTTCAAGCTCATGCAACTTGGCATCGCTCGGACGTGTGCACTTGTCCTTCGGCGAGGACCATCGAGGAGCATCCTTGATCATTTGGCGGAAAAAAGACCACGCACGAAACCGAAAAAACACAGGGAATGGACGTCCGAGCGATGGCGAGTGCGACGTACCCAACCCATCGGCACCAAGGGATGGCACAAGGTGTGCCGACAGTACTGTGACGGCAGCACTTTTTGTGCCCCGCTCGTCCCCTGGCCGCGGATGCTCACATTCCGCGCTCAGTGACCTGCGCTGGATATTCCGGATCTCATAACAATGGGGGGGGGTCTGCTTTTGGGGGGGTCTAACGGGCTTCGTCAAACACAATTGTGGGGGGGTCTCGATTTTGGACCCTTTGTCGCCTGTCCGGGGGGGGGGTCTACTCGGGGGGGGTCCCAGACCGGCCGTCAAACACTTTTTTGACCCCCCCCCCCCAGTAGTATGAGATTTGGAGCACACGAGCACATCTCCCGAGCATCTCGCCCGAGTGCTGCGCGAGCACTGGCCCAGTGCCTTCCGCGGACGGGGCACGGACGCAGCCCTGCGCCGCTCGTGCCTTGCGGACGAGGCCGCGCGCGCCTATCTATGCCAGCATCTGCCAGCGCGTGCCCGGCGCCACGGCGCCCTACGAGATCTTCGAGCGAGCGGTTCGCCAGACTCTAGGCCTCCTAGATGGGGTCGGAGTAGATGGGGTCGGAGGATCGCGCCGCATCGCCGATGCATCGCCGATGCGGCTCGATGTAGGGCCCGATCTTCTCCATTTCGACGTCGCCGATGCATCGTCGACGTCGCCAGTGCTAGGCCGATTCATCGCCGATATATCGGCGATGCATCGGCGATGCGGCGCGATCCTCCGACCACATCTACTCCGACCCCATCTAGGTGGCCTCTACACACGAGCAGCAGCTCTCCCGGCCCAGATGCGATTCCGTGCCGCGCCTGGCGTGAGTTGGGCGGCTTCGCGGCCAGAGCTCTGCACCATGCCTTCCTGGCCCTCGCGAGCACCAGCGGCGCGGCGTCGATGGACTCGGAGTGCGACTCGTTCGACGCGAGCTCCATGGTCTTCTTGCCCGAGAAGCCCCCTGGCACCAGTGAAGACGGCATCGAGTTCTACATCCCCTTGGAACATGCGACCCCTGAACATCTACGAATACAGACAACAGGATTATGTGCAGCGCGGTCCGCATGTGCATTGAGCCGGCCGTTGCCCCTGGGATCTCAGCCTGCCAGCGGGGCTACCGGCACGGGCGTTCGATGCTCGCTAACCTCATGGACGTCGCAGAAATCATGCACCACCACTCGCTGAAGTACGACTCTTCCTCCATGCTTTTTCTTCGATTTCGAGGCGGCTTTCCCGAGCGTCAGCCAGGAGTTCCTCTTCGATGTCATCGTGGCCCGGGGTTGGCCGCCGTTGTGCGTGCATTTTATCCAGGTGTTCTATCGGAGCAGCCGTTGCCGCATCGTGTGCACGCCAGGTCCAGTTACGACGGCTTTGCGCTCACCGCGGGGGCCGCCAGGGCTGCCCGCTCTCCCCGGTCCTCTTCGCAGTGCTGTCGGTGTTCTGTTGCGGAGGATCCCGCAGTTCATGCCAGACGCAACTCCCCGCGCGTACGCCGATGACCTGGCCGTCTGCCTAGTCCGCGGGGCGGGGGATGCTTCCATTCTTGAGGGTACTTTAGCGACACGCACCTTTTGCAAGACAATTTCGCGACCACGGTCGCCCTTCGTCTTGGAGCCGACGTCGTGGATGAGAACGTCTTGTGCCCGCTGTGCGGAGAGTTATTGGATTCGGGCGGCCTGCGCGCGTTGTCGTGCATGTTTTGGGGGGGGGCGCCACGGCCCAGCACAATGGAGCGCGACGCGTGTATTTCGATTTCCGCGAGCGGGCGGGGCTCCGTCCTCTGAGCGAAGCGCCCCGCGGGCTGCAGGCGGTGCTCGGGCGGGGCAGCCGGCGAAGGCCGGCAAACGTGCCGTGCGCCCCCGCGCTGGCATTGTCCAGGGGACTTCCAGACGGCTCGCGCGTGATCAGAGCCCCGAATCATCAGGGGTAATTCGGGTCAGGGATAACTCGGGTTCCTTATTCGGGAATCCGAACCCGAGTTACCCCGGACCCGAGTTACCCCGGATAACTCGGGCGTCCAGAGCTCCGAATCATCAGGGGTAACTCGGGTCAGGGATAACTCGGGTTCCTTTTTCGGGAATCCGAACCCGAGTTACCCCGGACCCGAGTTACCCCGGATAACTCGGGCGCCCAACGCGATCCAGACACAGCCGGTCAGTTTTGATTCCGCAGTTATCAGCGCCTTGGGGCCAGGCCGCTGGCACGAAGCAGCTGCAACGGCCGGCGCGGCAGCAGAGCGGCGCAACCAGAGAAAGCGCACCGACCAGAACACATAGCAGCAGTGCGTGGCAGCCGGCTGCCCGTTCTGGCCGGTCGCCCACGAGACGCAGGGCAGAATGGCCGCGGCCGCCTGCGCCGCGGCCCGGGCCGTCGCGGCGGCGGTGGGCGCCAGGGAGCGCCAGGAGCCAGCTTCTGTTCAGAAAGAGTTGTCTTTGCGCGAGGCAGCGGCGACAGCTCGCTGCGCGGCGCGGGCTATCAAGAAGAGGGCAGCGCCGAAGGTGGCGCGCGGCGTGCCGCTGGCGGTCCGCAGATCCTCCGGGGCGCCTACACGCAGGGTGTACGCGGACCGCCCGTCCGCCCCCCTCTCTTTCTTCCCCTTGCCCTCTGCTTCTCCTCCTCGTCCTCGTCCTCCTTCTCCTCCTCGCCCTCGCCCTCGTCCTCCTCGTCCCTCTCCTCCTTGGCCTCCTCCTCCTCCTCGTCCTCGTTTTCCTCCTCGTCCTCCCCCTCGTCCTCCTCCCCTCGTCCTCCTCGTGCTGCCGTGCAGCGCCCGGCCACACTGCGATGGGGCGTGCCAGGAGCGCGTGCCGAGCGCTGCGCCGTGGTCCTAATTCCCCCCCCCCCCCTGCCCGCGGGTCCCTGCGCGCCCCCTCCCCCTCCCCCCTCTCCCCATCCCCCTCTCCGGGGTCCCCTTTTTTTGCCCTGGTGTTTCTTGGCCCGTGTGTGTGTGTGTGTGTGTGTGTGCGTGTGTTTTTGTGTGTGTGTGTGTTGTTGTGTGTGTTTTTGTGTGTGTTTTTGTGTGTATATCTGCCCTCCTTCTCCCTCCCTGCCTGGCGTCTCGTCCCCGTCCGTCCGTCTGTCGGCCCAGGTTGTCCTTTCTTTTCGCCCTTGTTCCCTCTTCCCCTCTCGCTCCTCGGCTCCTCGCTCTCCTGCCCGTTTCTCGTCCTTGCCTGGCCCGTTTTTCTTAGTCGGCCCGCCCCGCGGTCCGAATAAGAGTTGCGGCGCTGCCTGTTGAGGACTGTGGATGTTGCCAATATTGCAGCGTACTTTCGACGAGTACGAGCGGCTGTCGGAGCTGCGATTGCACCACGGCAAAGCGGTCTGGGCCCCGCTCCCGGTGTAACCGATCGACCGCGTGCGGGGGGGTCTACAGGCGGCCGCGCCCGCGTGCAGCGACTTTACCATCCGCCGGCACGCAAGCAACCTGGGCTTCGTAGTAGGCCCGGAAGGCGCCGTGCATTCGTGAACGAAGCCGTTGGAGGAATCCATTTCCCAGGCCATGGTGTGGCGGGGCATCGGTTGCGGTATGTTTCTAACCCTGCTGGCTCACCGCACTTATATTTGGTAGCGTCCAAAACCCGGAGAGCGAAGGGAGCCTAAGGAACTGGGAAGCTCCCCTGCAGCGCTGCTGAAGCGCTACCAGAAACGCTTCCATGCGTGCCTGCACGCTTGCAGGCACGCGTGGAAGCTTGCCGGAAGCTCTCCCGGACCAGCTGCCGGCTCAAACGAACCCCTGTGAGGCCTGTGGACCGCCGTGGAGGAGCTCCTGGCGGCCACCACCACCGTCTGGCTTCTAATCTTAAACCCTTTAGCTCTCATCGAGCTCTCCGGGAATCTTCCTCGTGCTCTCCTGTTCCCTGCAGCTGGGCCAGCTGCCGTCCAACTGGGGCGCCGTGGAGCAGCAGGCGCGCGCCCTCCTCCTCTTCCCGGGCCCCAGCTGCTGCACTACCCCGGCGGCGCTCTGGAGCTTGCGTTCCGCGGAGTTCCACGCGGAGTTCGTTGGCGCCTCCTCCGCGGCGATCGCGGAGAAACGAAGGGTACACCGTCGGGAAAATATAACACATGGAGGTTTTCAGGTGCTTCGTCGCCTTCGGTTTCCGGACGCGCTCTGTTTCGAGTCCGACCATTTGGATCGATTGCTTGCTTGGGGCAGTTGGTACGGCCAGAATGTCTTCACAAACCTCGTAGAAGTGCGCGGCCATTTGAACGACGAGCAGCGGCAGCTGGGATGCCGGTCGAGGCCTTGGTCCAGGGCGACGCGCCGGAACCAGCGCCGAGGGTCAAGTG